TGTGGTGCCACGGGCAGCGCGCTCTGCCGCATGCCCGGGTGCGCGCGTCCGCGCGCTGGGCTTGGCGACTGTCGCCGCACCCGTGTAGGGGGAGGCTCCCAGCCTCAGGGCGCCTCTGGCTTGGGTAACAAATTATGGCCAATTAGCTCTCAGTTAGAGGGCACTTAATGAGAAGGCTCCATCCCGGTCCGAGCAGGCTCGGAAGGGGCCTCCCGGCTCCACACCACCGCCTCCTCCTGCCTGGGGTGGCGAGGGCAGGCCTGCGGGGCGGCGAGTCTGCGTCCGCCGGGGCAGTGGGCTGGGATGCGAAAGGACCAGATGGGGCCGTCGGCCACCCTCGTTAACCGGAGAGCTAAGCTCGTGCCTCTCCGGACCCCCGGCCCGCCTCCTCGGTGCACAAGGCCGAGAGCGCAGGCCCCTCCGCCGCTCCTTCCCGCCGCGCTCCCCGGTCCCTCTCCCTGGACGCGCCAAGCTGCTTCCCGCCTGCGTCAGGGCCTCCTCCCCTGGGGGGCCTTACCCCACCATCTCGGTACCCCATCACTTCGCCGCACTGCCCTCCAGCAGACCTCTCTAATCCAGAGTTCACATTCGAAACGGATACTCAGATTCCCTTGAAAAAAAAACCAAAGATCTGGCACGGGGAGCTAGCTGTCCTGGCGTGGCGGGGGCTCATGCGGTCTCGGCCGCCTGCCCTCCTTGCTGTTCCCATGCTCAGGTGCTGCCCACTCATATAGCCACCTTGTTCCACTTTTTGTCCCTTCCTGGCCCCACAGGCACTGGAGTTTGGGGCTTCTCCTCTGGCACCTGCCTGAAAAGCCTGCACTCTGTGTGGTGTCTTCACCCCCAGACTAGGAGGTCTAGAGGGCAGAGCGGGGACAAAGGCAGCAACGAGAATCTAGCTTTGGAAGCAGAAAAATCTGGGTTCACAGGGACGTCTTCCATCCAGGTAACTTGAGGCAAATTATTACCTTCTGTCGGTGGAAAGTGGACAGCACCCTATGAGCCAGGAGCTTAAGGATAAGTGAGCATCTGCGTCCTGCAGGTGGCAGGTGTGCACCTTCCCCTCTCTGAGAGGGCCCTGAGCAGAGCTGTCTCCGCCTCCTGCCTCCTGGGTGACCACCCACCCAGAGGATCCAGAGACTCCGCTCTCCTTCAATTATTTGGCTCCCCGCTTCCTGCTTTCCAGCGGCACGTGCCCATCCTCACAGCTCGCCAATCTTAAAAAGATGCAAGTCCCTTTCTCTCCTGCTCTTGCTGGCCACATTTCCTGGAAAGATGCCCCATAATATCCTGTCCATTTCCCCATCTGTCTATCCTCCTTCCCTCTCTCCATCCTAGCCTCTGTCCCATCACTCCACCCCAACAGCTCCCTTCAAGGTCACCAGTGACTTCTATGTCACTAAATCTCACATTTTTTCCCAACTCTAGGCAGCATTGGCTACTTCTCTGGTGGCTGCCAAGAGAGAGCACATTGGGGTCCCCTTCTCAGTCAGCCCGTCTGTGACCCCTTTGTAAGCTCTGCTTCCTTCACCAGGCTCACTGCTCACCTTTCCAGGATGCTGACCTGCCGTAAGGTGTCCTCTCAAATCTAGTTTCCCCCAAGAGTATTTCTCCTGCCCATACCTGAACGTCCCACTCCAACAACAGCCACCCTCTCTCCTCCTTTCTTCCTTTAATTTTTTTTCAAGGTAACACATGTACCTAGTTGAATAAGTCCAAAAGTTCTAGAGGCTTTAGCGACAACAAAAATCTCTCCTCACTCCCGTTTCTTCTGATCATTCTTGACATATTTCTAAATAACATGCTTATGATGCTATTACTTGATTTTCCTTTGTAGGTAGCATCTGTTGACATCCCACTTTGAAAGATGCAGATTGATGATAGAGAGAAGTTTGGAACTTCCTGAATGAAGAAAGGGCAATAGAAATTATAAATATATGAATAAATGTAATAGACTATTTTTCTCATAAGTTCTTTAAAATATGTATAATGTTATACAGTGGGGTTTTCAGTACATGAGATGTAATAATGTAACAAAGCAGGAGGGTGAAAGGATCGTAAGCTTGAAGTGTTAAAATAGTAATTCGAAGCAGACTGCAATAAGCTAGGAATGTATCATTATAATCCCTAGAGAAACTATTAAAAAAACCCACAAAAAACAAAAACAAAAAGCAGAGTTATAGCCAGAACACCAAAGGATAAATTAAAATGGAAGACTGAGGAACTGAGGTCAGTGAAAAATGGAGTAAGGAACTCCAAAAGTCCATCCCTTCATAAAAACAACTGTGTTGATCATTTCTAAACTTCATTTTCTCTATCTGATTACAAAGTTAATACTTTTTAAATATGCTTATTTTAAAGATCATCCTTATTTAACAAGTATTTACAGGTTGCTCTCTATCCCAGCACTAATAGAAATACGATGCAAGTCATTACCTAATTGTAAACATTTTAGTAGCCACATGTAGAAGAGGAAAAATAGGTGAAATTAATTTAAATATATTTTCTTTTACCCAGTCTATTCATAATAGTATCATTTCAACATGTAATTGATTTTTAAAAATTATCGAGAACTTTTACATTCTTTTTTTATGTAAATCTCCTACACTTATGGCACTTCTCCATTCAGCCTAGCCACACTGCAAGGACTCCACAGTCCCTCTGGCTTGAGGTTTCCACGCGGGACAGTATAATTCCACACTTCAGAGGGGTGAAGTCTCCTAAAATCCCAGCCTGCAGAGCCAACCACTTGTAACATCTAAGAGCAGTCTTCCAAATGTTTCCTACAAAAATATATAGATGTATGTATTTGTGGATTAATCAGGAATCCTTCCGTTGCAAGGGAAAGAAAATCACTTCAAAGTGGCTTAAGAAAAAAAAAAAAGGTTGGGGAGCATGGGAAATTCTCTTGACTCCGAATTTCAAAGCCTGAGTACAGAAACCATCCTTCGGCACTTCAAACATTGCCAGGGCTCAGGACTTTCTCATTTTTCAGCTCATGTCCCTCTGCAACAGGCCACCTCTAACCCAAGGGATTGCCCCCTGACCCCAACTGCAAACTTACATCCTCCCAGCCTCGAATGCGAAGAGAAGGTCTCTCTCCAGTCTTGGATTGGGTTTCAGTGGAGTCCACTGGGTCCACGTGCTCAGAGTTGGCCTGCCGCTGCGGGCTGCGGGGCTGGGCTCTGCCAGCCCTGGGTCCTGCTTCCCCAGCCAGGGAGCCAGGGCCTCAGGGGGTAAGATCAGGATGTTATCACTAAAAGGAAAAAGATGGACTGGATTTCGGGTGGGCAGAAACAGTAGAGCTCCATCGTAACTGGAATACGCTATTGTTTATCATTTGTTTACACAGCTGAGACGATCATAACATGGACTTGCATCAGCTCGCTCTTTAAATGTATGTCGGCCATCTTTCCACATAGAACAAGTATCTACCCAATGGAAAAAAATGCAGCTTCCATTTGCAAGGATACACCTTAATTTATTTAACCTGGCCCCTACTTGTGGCTATCTAAGCTGTTTTCTATCTTTTGCTACTACAAACATGCTTCACATAAAATTTAATTTAACTGTGAGGGTTCTGTGCAATATGTCCCTAGCAGTGGACTTGCTGGTCAAAGGATATACATTTTAAACTTTGATGGATATTGCCCTGACTCAGTTGTACCCATTGAAATCATCAGCCAAGAATAAGAGTGCCTTTCCCTCCAACACTCTGCTGTATCAAGGAGACTTTTAGTTCCAAATTTCAGAAACACCCAGTTAAAACTGGCTTAGAGGGGAAAACATTATTATCTCATTCACTAAGAGGTGGAATGGTAGGGAGTTCTAGGTAAGGAGCCAAGGACACCACGATGACAAGCCTCCCGAGGATTGCCAGAAGCTCAGTGCCTTGGAAAAGAGGCGCCATATCCTCCATGACAATGTTTCTCCCACATCAACACGTGTCCCTACTCCTAGTCCCTTTGGGGTTAGAGAACTTTCCAGAAAGCCATCTTCTCAGACTTGTCCCCCCACCCACCCACACACACACATGTCTCCTGCCCATCAAAGAACTAAATTGACCAGAGGTGAAGAAGGACATGCTGGTTTGGATCAATCACACTCCACTCCAAGGGAGGGCCCAGGCTCCCCGGAGCAGGTGTCTGTCAAGTATTTGTCCTGAACGAGATTCTTCACCCAGAAGGGGCTGGTAGAAGAGAGCCAATAATTCTGCCACACACACTTGTTAACAATGTTTTTTTTAACAACGACCAGTGTGGTAGGCAAAATGATTTCATTTCTTTAACCCGCATCTTTAAAAATTCTGAGTGATGCTGAACATCATTTTGTAAGTTGAAGAAGGCAGAGGCATCATTAAAACACTGCATTTTAAAGTAGCGGGAAGATTTCAGATACTAAGTTAACTTCATTTCTTTAAGTTTACTTTGTGTTTCTTACATGGTCCCAAAGTCAAAGCTACCAAGCACGGTAGATCCGGCAGTCTTGTTTCCGTAAGCTACTACCTTTTAGTTCCTCCTTTCTTTCATTTCTATTTGTATTTCCCTCCTCCCCGCTTCTTTCTTATACAGAAGGTAGCATTCCATAAACACTTTTCTGGGCCCTACTTTTTACTTTTTACTTAATAAATCCTAGCAATCACTCCAGAGCATAATATAAATATATGTATTTTTTAAACAGCAGCTTAATACTCTATCATGTAGATAAAACATCTGTCAATAGACTGTGGGCCCTTTTTTTACCTTTTGCTATGACATACAATGCTGCAATGGAAAGCCTCGTACGTGTATTATTTTGTGTTTTCTTTGCCATTGGATCTAGACGTAGGTTCCTAGATAAAGGGCAAATGCACGTGTAATTTTGCTAAGTATTGGCAAATTTCTTTCCAAAGGGGCTGTACTGTTTTGCCCTGGGGTAATCAGTGCTGTCTCCCAGGGTGAGGACGTGCCCGTCCCTCACTGCTCATGAACGAGACTGTCTCTTGGTTTCCCTGGGCTCTGCGCAGTGCTGGCAGGCTTCTGCTCTGATAGAGGGTGCAGCCCTTGGGGCTCCAGCGACACAGAGAGAGGGTCCCTTAGGAGACCCCCACCTTGACCCTGAATCCCCGTGGCCCTCAGGGCAAAAGCACCTTAGTGCCCCTTACCTGCCTCCAGGTTACTGCATCCCCACATCCGACTTGGAATGTTTTTACACCTGTTGGCTCTTCAGTACTTCAAGATGTTCTTGTATTTTATCCAGCATTTTTAGTTAAAGAAGGGTTTATGGCCCATCGCTGCCAGAAATAGAAGTTCTAAAATGCACTTTAAAAAAGGTAACTTTTAATTAGACGAGTCACATGAGTTCATTATCCTTATAAAAAGTAAAATACGTGCAATATTGGTGAATACATATACCAAAAGGGGGCTTTTCTTACTTACAGCAGCCAGGGGTAATTCAAGTCCTGTGGTCTCTCATTGTGATTCAGAATGGATTGGTTTTTTTTAACTAAAAATTTAAAAACAAAATTGAAACTTTGAAACCGCACAGTGAGGCAAGGTCTCCTTCGGCCGTTACCCCAATTCCAGCACCTTCCCCAGCGGTTTCCACCGTTTTCCGTTTGGTCTGTATCATTTTTAACACATTTGCATACATATCCACATACCTGTGGAAAAGCGTGGTACCATCTTGTTTTTTTCTAACATACATGGCATTACACTCTTCATAACGCCATGCAAGTTTTCACTTAGTGATATTTCTGAAGGATCTTTCCATGCCAGCAGCCCACGGGGCAAAAATAGGAAGCCTGTAGGTCAAATCCAGTTAATGAACATGTTAAGGTTTGCCCAAGCAGCATTGGGTATTTTTTGGGGGGGTGGGGAGGTGTATTTTTTTATTAACGTATAATTGCATATGGAAAAGTGCACACCAGCATATGACTTGATGAATTTTCACATCCCTGTGTGATGGCAGCTAAGAAGCTGCTTCTAGTCACTACCCATTCTCCACTACCATCTTGACTTCTAACACTAGAGTGTCTGAAAGAGGTTTTTTAAATTAAGAAAATAAAGCCTAAAAATATATTCCCATCTTCTCCTGAAAACTCAGAAATTCCGACGACATTTGCCTTGGGCCAAGCAAGCGCTCAGGTGCAGCAGCCATCGGCTCAGGGTGCTCTCTGGTTTGGCCGAGCACCCAGCTCCCTCTGCCGTCTAATTCTGGAAGCTTCACCTATTGACATTACCTGCTTGGTCTTTAGGGAAGTCTGAGTTTACAACATGTAACTGGCAGACCCTTATCGATGGCTATTCAGGCTGTTTCTGGATTTTCCTTATTTAAAAAATACCGCACCTAGCATTTCCACATAGGTGTACGTACCTGTGTCTGTATCTCCAAGAGAATCGAAAACACGTGCCCACATAAAATCCTGTGCAGCAGCGTGATTCATAACAGCCAAAGGGGGTCAAATGTCCATCTACTGACGAATAGATAAATCAAATGTGGTACATCCATACAATGGGATCTCATCTGGCCATAGAAAACAATGAAGCACTGGCACATGCGACAACACTGGTGAACCTCGGACACATTATGCTCAGAGAAACACGCCAGTCACAGAAGATCACATGCTGTGTGATTCTATCTACATGAAGTATCCAGAAAAGGCAAATCCATAGAGAGAGAAAGCAGACTAGTGGTGGCCAGGGCTGGGGGGAGAGGGGTAGTGACCGTTAATGGGTGTGGGCTTTCTTTTGGGGATGACGAAATGTCCTGAAATATAGTGGTGATGGTTGCACAACTCTATCCTGAAAACCACTGAACTGCACACTTTACATGAGTCAGTCGGGTATGTGAGTTCTCTCTCAATGACACTGTCACTATCGGCCCTCTGCCTTCGAGGATTTCCAACTGTAGATGGAAAATACTCTTTTTGATCCTCTGTTGGTTGAATCCGCAGATGTGAAACCCATGGACACTTCAGCCTACGCCCTGTGATATCAGGGCCCGACCATCCTCGGCTTTTGGTAACCGCGGGGTCCGGCACCAATCTCCCTTGGGACGTCTGCACTTAAAACACAACACAGCATGAGCACCTGAACATCCCTTCCTGTTTCTCTAATTGCTGGGTCAGAGTCGTTTTGTCTTAATTTCTCCAGGGTGTCTGAACGGCTTTACTCCACCCCAGGGTGCCCATCGCTTCCTCACACTTTTAGCTCAGTGTCTTCTGCTAATCTGACGGGCAGGTAAAAAAACAGCATCTCATTCGAATTTCTATTTCCGTGGTTATCAGTTTTGGAATCGTTTCTTACTTATTGACCATTTGTATTTTCTCTCCTATGACATTTCTGTTCATGTCCTTCACTCGTCTTTTTTATTGGAATGTCTTTTGATTAATCTGTAGCTTTTAATACATTCTGTACGTGTGCTTTGTTTTATACACTGCAAATATTTTCTCAAGTATCAATTTATGTTTGTAAAACAGCAGGTTATTACTAATCAGAATGCACGTCATTTTTAATAGGTTGACTTAATGCTCACAAACTGCTAAAAACACCACCTTAGGAAGTCTGTGACGCCAGTGGCTTCGTTCCCTACATTTTTCCTTTCTTGACACATCTAGGCCCTGGCAACGTCTGGTGGGTGTCGCCTCTTGGCACAGAGTCCTGCCCAGGGACCTCCTCTAACTACGGAGCCATGCGAGTCTGCTTTTCATCCTTTCCAGATCACTTGGTATCAAAGTTAAATACCAAAAACTAGTCAAGAGCCAAACTCTTTGGTTTCATAGATGCATATCAACAAAAAGATAATCTGACTTCAGTTCCTGATCTGACATCAGCAGGTTTATACATAAACAGGAAACATAGGGATGATGAAATTAAACTCAAAGAAAAGAACATTTCCTTTCTAGTTCACGGCTCTCAAAAGTGATTTAAAAACTGATTCCAGACAGGCTTCACACACACGTCCGTTCCTACACACGGGCTGCGGGAACCTGGCTGAGCGCCTGGGGCCCTGAGGGACACCTGCCCGAGGTCCCGGCCAGCTGAGGTCAGCCCTCGCAGCGCCTCGGCTCGGGGTGCCTTGAACTCTAGACTTGAAGCAGACAACAACGCACGCACGCATGTGCACACACGCGCGCACACACACACACGGGAATTTATTAGGCTGTCTGGTTTGGTCTCATCTTCCAGGTCATGGCCTTCAGCCAGCAATAAAAGAGTAAACAAACCACAAGGTTCAAGTTCATCCTGATGAGTTAGTCTTTGATGCTCGCATTTGCTGGAACCATCTCTCATTCCTCACTTTCGGCCCAGGGGAGCCCGCGGTTACTGGTTATCTTTCTTTCCTCCCAAAACTAATAAATGAGAACTCAATGCACATACTTTCTAATCGTGAACTGGGAAAAAACCCTTAGGGCTGTTTTTACACCCGAGGGAAGAACTGGAGTTGAAGCGAGCAGACTGGGGCGCCCCGGGGCGCCAGCAGACCCCCGACGCCCTGCACAAGGGGGGATGCTGTCCGCTGTTTCTGCCAAAAGGAGTAGCCAAGATTGTACCCAATCTTGTTACCGTGACTGTGGCAGACTGGGAAGGTGCCACTGCAGCTTACACCAAATAAGTTCTTAAAATACATTCCATAAAGTCTATAAAACTGTTTAGAAAAAATTTATTTGAACATATGAAAGGAAAATTCAGAGACCCCAATAAAACAGAGCAGCTCCTTTTCGCGGTGACGGGGGCGATCCTCACAGGTTTCCTTGGGCAGCGCCGGGTGCTGTGTGCCACGAGGTTTCGGCTCCGAGCTCCCAGGGCCCGGAGAAGCCTGTGTTTGCGGCAGGAACGCGTCCCGTTCACAAGAAAGGCAGCCAGACAAGCGGACTTGCAATGCTGCTTCTCGCGTCCGGGTCCCCGACAGCACAGGCTCAGAGCGTGTGTGTCTGAAATGACACACGAGACAACAGGCTCACAGAACTGGCATCTTTTAAAGATGCCCGCATCATCATCGCTCTGCGGGGGGGCTGGACATTTTTCCTTTTATCTGTCCAATCTGGACGCTTACGGATGTGGCCAGGTAGGAGGTACCTGGATGGCGCTGTCACAGGACTTTCGCACGACAGTCCTGCCGGTAGAGCTGGCGCCTGGCTGCCTCCCACGGGTGCCGCTCTGCGGGGCGAGCCGCCCGGTCCAGAAGGCTTCCTCCAGCCAACCCGGCGCAGAAGGCACACTGCCACTTGGCGGCAAGCGGGGCCGGCCTAGCGGATGGGCCTGAACGGGAAGGGCATGCCCGACAGGAAGGTGTGCCCGGGGTGTGTGGGCAGGGCGGGGTGGGCGGCGGGGTGGGCCGGCACGGCGCCGTAGCCCAGTGGGGGCGTGTGGATGTGGGGGTAGAACCCAGGGGGGAGCGCGGCGTGTGGTGACTGCTGCACAGGGCCTGAGATCACCAGCTGGAGCAGGCTGCAAACACAAGGAGGAGAATTAGGACGCGTGGGTTCCCATGACGATGTCCGCCTGACGTGTGGCATTGGGGATGGTCCCCTTCCCTGGACTTGGTTCTGAGCGGGGACAGGAGAGGAGGGGCCAGCAATGGGAAAAGCAGAGAGGGGGCCCTGAGGGAAGCACAGGTGCCCAGGAGGAGGGGCGGCAGCTCTGCAGCCCACGGAAACTCTTGCTGCAGCCTCAGCATCATGGCACGGGGACCACGCAGGTCAGCATCCGCTTCAGCCTCAGCTGTCTACACCTATGAGGGTGGTGGCCGAGGCCCTGCAGCCAGCAGGCCAGTTTGCTCAAAGGCATTCTTGATGACCGAGTCCCAGCCAAATTCTTAGCAAAGCCACACGAAAGGTGGCCTTTCTGACACCCAGAGTCCCGCACGGGCCTGGAGCTGCCCGACCTGTCCCTGGAGGCCTGCTCCCCTCCCACTTCCACCCTGACGAGCTTCGGACCCTCTTGCCACTTGCTCTAACACGGCCGGGCGACAGGCTCCCTAGAGATGGGGCATCCCCTTCCACCCGAACCCATGACCCCCCACCCGACTCAACATGCCCAAGGTCCCAAACAACGGCGCCCCATCTTTCCCACCCCCACGGCCCCCAGTCCCGGTGCTGTGCACTTTCTCCCACCCGCGCTCCTCCCTCCGGCTCGGGACATCGGCGGCCTCTGTCCCACAGAAACCCCTTGCCCTCCCGAACTCAACGTCATTTCCAATGCCGGTCCCTTCCGAAGTTCCCTCTCCCCGCCCAGAACCATCGGCAGATTCCTGACTTCCCCCTGCCTTGGATCCCAGGCCCCCCGCCTGCCCATGCCTCGCGGTCAGCCTGCAATAACCAACTCCCCAGTTACGCCCTCATCGGACAATCTTCTCAGGCCCCCTCCCCAGCCCTGCCTCCCTGCCACTCCCCGGCCTCTGCTGTGCGCAGGCTGGCTCTGCCCTCTGCCCTTCTGGCCTCGCCCCGGGGCCTTGGCTCTGGCCGGGTCTTGCGTCTCCAGTGTCTACACAGGTCCCGTTACATCACGAATTTCCAGCTGCCAGGTCCTGTTCACGCCCATCGCCTGCCCCTCAGCTTCCTTGTCCCACGGTGCTGCCCGTCCCTGCTCCTGCCCTGCCTGGCCCAGTGACAGCCGCCCCCAACCCACTGCTGGCCCCTTCAGCCGTTGGTGGACCCTGACTGTCCGCCTGCTCCCCGGAATTGAAGGGGCTGGGTCTTCTGCACACTGACATCACCCCTCCCACCTTCCAAGTACAAGGTCTGTTGCCCCAGGAGGGGCTGGGGCAGAGCACGAGAGCATGAGGAAAGCCATGAGGAAAGCTGGCCTCCTTGGTGGCCTGAAGGATCTGAGCCCCTTTCCATTTACGTTATTATTTTTCATTAACTCTGAGTAACAAATTGACTCAAAATAAGCAAATGAGTCAGTAAATCTGCAGTGGAGGTATTACAGAGGCGCAGTTCAGATCACGTGCTGGTTTGAACCCGCACACCCTGCCAGGCAGAGAGGGGCTTTCAAGA